ATCTATCTATCTATCTATCTATCTATCTATCTATCTATCTATCTATCTATCTATCTATCTATCTATCTATCTATCTATCTATCTATCTATCTATCTATCTATCTATCTATCTATCTATCTATCTATCTATCTATCTATCTATCTATCTATCTATCTATCTATCTATCTATCTATCTATCTATCTATCTATCTATCTATCTATCTATCTATCTATCTATCTATCTATCTATCTATCTATCTATCTATCTATCTATCTATCTATCTATCTATCTATCTATCTATCTATCTATCTATCTATCTATCTATCTATCTATCTATCTATCTGTCTCTCTCTCTTCTCTCTCCTCTCTCTCTCTCTGTCTATCTATCTATCTATCTGTCTGTCTGTCTTTCGCCGTTCATTATGTAATCTCTTTATTCACTAACCCATTGCTTATCCGCTAACTCCCAAACTCACTCAATCTCTATAATTATTATAATTTATTAATTTAATTTTGTATTTTATATGCAATAAATAAATATTAATAATTATAAGAATCGCGAGACCCGTTGAAAAATTATTTTAAAAATTTTTTTTATTACGTCTCGTGCTCTGTTTAATTATTTTAATATATTTAATTAAAAAATTAAATAAATAAATAATATATTATTCATGAGATAGTAATGTATTGTTATCTGACCAAAAAATTTTTTTTAATAATATGGAAACTTGTCTATTTTGAACATAAACAATTTTATAAAATTTAAAAATAATATTTAAACTTTATATTAAAAATACAAGTAATTTTTACTAACAAAATAATTTTTTTATTTTGAACATGAACAACTTTATTTTTATAAAATTTATTTTATATATTTAAACTTTTTATTAAAAAATACAAGCAATTTTTATTAACAAATTTTAATTGATAGTTATTTTATACTTTTATTTATTAATTAGTTTCATATACAGTATTTTAAAATTATATATTACATTATACAGGTCAGCCTGTTTCCTGTCACCTGTATCAGACCCAACTTTCCTGTATAATACAGGCGGCACCTGTATGGGTGGTCAGTCTATATGCACTACATATGGGACGGCTGTTCCTATAGATATCTGAGACATTTGTTGAACTCGAAGAAACATCTGACTATCTATCCGTTTGTCAAATCTCCCGAATCGATGATATTGTTGGGAACTGTTGAACGACTAGAATTGGAATCACTATTGGATCGGCATTTAAGCAAAGATCAGATGATCGAAGATCTGAAGAAATCTAGTAGTAGTAGTAAAAGTAGTTTAAATAATAATAATAATCATAATAAGAGGCCATCACCTACCTGTCCAATACATAGTAGTAATTAATAACAAATTGAATAATAATTGATTAATCAATTTGATTCAATTGATTAATTAATAATTAATAACTGATAATTAATTAATTGTTTGGTTAATATAATTTATATATCAATGATAATATGTATGTGTATGTGTGTGTATGTGTGTGTATGATTGTGTATGTGTGTGTATGTATGTGTATGTATGTGTGTGTGTATGTCTGTGTATGTGTGTGTATGTGGTGTATGTGTGTGTATGTGTGTGTATGTGTGTGTATGTGTGTGTATGTGTGTGTGTATGTGTGTGTATGTGTGTGTGTATGTGTGTGTGTATGTGTGTGTATGTGTGTGTATGTGTGTGTATGTGTATGTATCTGTGTGTGTATGTGTGTGTATGATTGTGTATGTGTGTGTATGATTGTGTGTGTGTGTGTATGTGTGTGTATGTGTGTGTATGTATGTGTATGTGTGTGTATGTGTGTGTATGTGCGTGTGTATGTGTGTGTATGTGTGTGTGTATGTGTGTGTGTGTATGTGTGTGTATGTGTGTGTATGTGTATGTATCTGTGTGTGTGTGTGTGTGTGTGTATGATTGTGTGTGTGTGTGTGTGTGTGTGTATGTGTGTGTATGTGTGTGTATGTGTGTGTATGTATGTGTATGTGTGTGTATGTGTGTGTATGTGTGTGTGTATGTGTGTGTGTATGTGTGTGTATGTGTGTGTATGTGTGTGTATGTGTATGTATCTGTGTGAGTATGTGTGTGTATGATTGTGTATGTGTGTGTATGATTGTGTGTGTGTGTGTGTGTATGTGTGTGTATGTGTGTGTATAATTGTGTATGTGTGTGTATGTGTGTGTGTATGTGTGTGTATGTGTGTGTGTATGTGTGTATGCGTGTGTATGTGTGTGTATGTGTGTGTATGTGCGTGTATGTGTGTGTATGTGTGTGTATGTGTGTGTATGTGTGTGTATGTGTGTGTATGTGTGTGTATGTGTGTGTATGTGTGTGTATGTGTGTGTATGTGTGTGTATGTGTTGTATGTGTATGTATTTCTTTATATAAAGTTATATATTTTTATATTAGTAATTATTAGTCTATAATTAATTTTATATTTATATAATTTAATAATCATTAGTCATTATTGACGTGTTTTAATAAAACAAATAATTTTTACACAATTTAAAAGGAAATTAAAAATATGTTTTTAACTTAAATTTGTGTATAATTTTATATTTGAAATTATGGTACTATTTTTTATTGTCAAATAAAACTATAAAAAAACTAACTTCAAAACATTATCTTTTGTTATAAATATAATTAATTAAATTTAAATAATTTAGTTATTATTTAAATAATTTAGTTATTATTTAAATAATTTAGTTATTATTTAAATAATTTAGTTATTATTTAAATAATTTAGTTATTATTTAAATAATTTAGTTATTATTTAAATAATTTAGTTATTATTTAAATAATTTATTATTTAAATAATTTAGTTATTATTTAAATAATTTAGTTATTATTTAAATAATTTAGTTATTATTTAAATAATTTAGTTATTATTTAAATAATTTAGTTATTATTTAAATAATTTAGTTATTATTTAAATAATTTAGTTATTATTTAAATAATTTAGTTATTATTTAAATAATTTAGTTATTATTTAAATAATTTAGTTATTATTTAAATAATTTAGTTATTATTTAAATAATTTAGTTATTATTTAAATAATTTAGTTTAGTGGTGTTTAATGAGATATTATGTTAGAAAGTGATTGGTTGGTTGGGTGAGTTAGGTATTCTGTGATGGTTAGGTAATGGTTTAACTTAAGTGTTTGGCATTATATTTGATAGATATCATAAATGCCTGACATTTTGTGAATAAATTGTTAAAAAGCAACTCTATTTATAAAATATATATATAACGCAATTTAGTGTTTTTACCATGTTAATTAAATTTACAATTAATATACTTATTTCCATTTATATTATCCTTATAATTATAGGTATACTAAACAAATAAATACAAATATATATATATATATATATATATGGGCATGTATAGTGATTAAACAATGTTTTATAAATTAATTAATAATATAAAATTGAAATAATATGTAAATAGTATATAGTATCAAATAATAGTTTCTCTCTCTCTCTCTCTCTCTCTCTCTCTCTCTCTCTATCTTTCTATTATAACAATCAATTCAATCATTTTCTCAACACTTATATTCAATAACTTTTATCTATAGTTTTACTTTTAGAATTATTATCTATTTATTATTATTATTATTATTTTTTATTCACATTTAAAAAATTTCAATTATTTTGTTATTTGGATCTCATTTTTGATTAACAAGTTTTAATAAACAAGATTCTGGGAGTTTGGGTGCGACATAATGTCGCAAATCGATATCAAACAAACTATTGAATTTGGATATGAATTATATATATATTACATACTTTTCTATATTATATAAAAAAAATATTTTTTTTTAATTATATAAACATATAATTATATTAACAATTTTTTATATAAACAATTGCTCTTTAAGTAATTATTAGAATTATTATCTTAAAAGATTACCTTTATCATATATTATTATTATGAAAGCTATTATAGTTTTAAAAAACAAATACTTTTAATTAGTTTTAATTTTTATTTTAATTATTTATTGGCAAAGATTAAGTTTAAATCAACAATTAAATCGAATGCAATATAATAATTATAATTGAATTTTTATAAAAATCTAATTAGTAACTAATGTTTGCTATTTTTATCATAATATTGCAAACTATTATTAATTACATTATTTTATTAAAAGTAATTTCATTAAAATAATTATATATGAATCTGCAATACTTTATATTTATAATAAATATGATCTTAAATTTTTAGTAATTTTTTTATTTAATTAAATATCTATTTATTAAACTAATTATAAAAAAATTATTTTTATAAAATAATAAAATATTTACATTTATATTAGTTATTAATTATTAAGATAACATTAAGGATGTATATAATAACAAAATATTGATATATATTATAATCTTAATTAGCACTTAAAAATCAAATGTCATTTATTAGACTCTATTTATAATAATAAAAAGTAAATAATTCAGTATAAATTTTTATTAAAAAATATATAAAAAAATGTATAATTTATTTTAAAAATATTAAACTTCAAATTAAATTAACATAAAGAAAACTATAAATTATGTTAATATATTATTTTTTAATAATTAATTAAATACTATTACTAATTATAGTGTTTATATTAATAAAATTCAAAATAAAAATATAAATGTATAATGTTTTTATATGTTTAAATAAAATTTCTAACTAATTAACTCTTGAACTTTGTTATTAGATATTCATATCTAAAAAAAATTTTAATATAAAAAGCCAATAAATTGTTAAAATTACAATAGTTATAAATTACTTACTGGTAATTAACTAATTATTGTTATTAAATAAAATGATTAAAATATATTTAATATTTTTGTTAATTTTTATTTCTAATGTGCTAACATTAAACACTACTATTATTACTTCTAATAATAATTATAATAATAACACCTCTAATAGTATTGTAATTAAAATTATTCCATTAATATTTTTTTATATATAAAAAAGTATTTATTTTTATTTTTTTTAAATAAATAGTTAACAGAAAATTTATCGGAAAATTTTTTTTATATATGCGGTGGTATTGATGATAACAAAAAAATATTGTCTGATTGTTATAAATATAATAAACGCTCAGATGTTTGGCAATCTATACAATCCATGTCTACTACCCGTCGATGGTTTGGTTTGGTTTCAATGGATTCAATATTGTATGCAATCGGAGGCTATAATGTAAATAATAGATAATATATTAATATATATTTGTTATACATATTTATATGTATATATAATAGTAAATAATTAGTAGTATAATATATTTAGATATTTGATTAGTATAATGTTATAAAGTTATATAATTAGAAAAATTAAATATAAATTTTATAAATATTGAAAAACATTAGTTTGTTGACAATTGTTATCTGTTGTAAGTAATCTAAGTAATAAATTATTTATTAAAATATTAAATTCTAAAAAATAAGTACAAAATAATATTTAATTAAAGATCTTATATCGCAAAAAATATTATTTTACTACTATTTAAAATACTATTATTATTAACAACTCTAGTAACTAAAAAAAACAATTCATCTTATTAAATAACTTTAGGATAAATATCTAAAAACTGTTGAAACATACGATTTGCTAACAAATAAATGGACTCGGGTTACATCAATGAATTTACCTAGACGGTAATTTTTTTTTTAAAAATTATTTTTTATTAAAAAAAATTAAACATATATTAGTAAAAATAATTAAAAAATAATAAAGTGTATTTGGTTCAGCTGTAATTAATAATACTATTTATGTTTGCGGTGGATATAATGGTAAATAAATAAATTTATTATATTATTAAAATAATTTAATATTTATATTTGTATTCTATTTTATTTTATTTAGACTTACAGAACTATTTTTAAATATACAAATTATATTATAGATTAAATTTTTTTTGCTGTTGTAAATAATTAGTTATAAACTAAGTATTTATATTAATAAAAATAATTTTTTAATTCTATTTAAGTGAATTTCGGTTGAGTTGTAATTAATAATACTATTTATATTTGCGGTGGATTTAATATTTTATAAATAATTTTATTATATTATCAAAAATAATTCTCTTAAATCTATTTTTTTATTTTAGATTTTTACTAAAAAAATTTTTAAAAAAATTAAATTAATATTTAGATAAATAATTTTATTTTTTTAATTCTATTGATTTTGTATTAACTATCATATTATTAATAATTATATATAAATTTTAGTTATTTACTTATAAAAAAAAATTATTTAATTTAAATTCATATTTATAGATGAAGTATTAAAATCATGTGAATATTATTCAACAAATACTGATGAGTGGTATTTTATAACACCWATGACTATTGAAAGACGTGGTTTTGAATTGGTATCACACGAAGGGTTTTTATATGCTATCGGAGGCTATAATGGAAATGAATCAATGAATTCAATGGAAAGATTTGATATAAAAACAAAACAATGGACTACTAAAGCAAATATGACATCAAAAAGGTTTGTATTTTTATACATATTGTTTATTATTGATATTATTGTAATTCTAAACAAAAATAAAATATTTATTTATTAATTTTACTAAATAAGCATTAGTTTTGAAATTATTTATAGTATTTGTCTATATATTTATATTATAATATCCAATAGATATGGATTTGGTTCGGTATCATTTATGGGCAAAATATATGTTTGCGGCGGTGAAGGTAATAGTGATAGAAAATCATGCGAAACATATGATCCGCAAACAAACAAATGGACACCAATTGGTTTTTATAAAAATAATTATTGTTTTTTTTGTTAAAAATTTTTTTAACAGATTTTTGTTTTGTTTTTCATTATAAATTTTAATCAATATAATTATAGCATCAATGAATCATGGTAGATATTATTTTAAAATGGTTGCTTTTAATGACAATTTATATGCTTTGGGTGGTAAAGCAGGTAATCAAATTATATAAAGTATATATATTTAGTTTAATTTTTTTTGTAAATTAATATAATTAAGATTTTCCTATTGATATTGTTGTCTTTGATTCGGTTGAAATATATGATTATTATTCAGATAAATGGTTTTATACGACATCATTGCCTCAAAAACTTGGTGATTTTGGGGTATAAATATTAAATATTGTTTTTTATTAATTAATTAATCTATTTTATTGTTTTAAAAAAATTTTTTACTAGGCTACTGTTGTAAATTAATTTTTTCATATTATTATTATTATGAAAAATATATTAAATTATACTTGAATTATATTTAATATAATTATTTTAAATAAATTTATTAAAGAGTATTATATATATATTCAGAATTAGAATACTTATAATTATTACTTATATTATTGATTTTTAAAATATATCAAATACTGTTATAACTTATCTAAAAAAATTGATGATTTTTTTATAATTACTAATTATTTGTGTCAATAAAAAGTACAAAATTTAACACAATTTTTATGATTATTTATGTAATAATTGAAAAAATATTTGTCAATTGTTGTAATATTATTGTTTAACATTATTTTTACGTAAACATTGATTTAGTTATATTTGGTTTAGTTATCTTTATTATAATCTTAATTAGCACTTTAAAAAATCAAATGTTAGTTTTTTAGTATATAATAATTAAAATTAAATAATTTAGTATTAATTTTATAATAATTATTGTGATTTATTTGTAATTTATTTTAAGTTATCTATTTTAACATAAATATTACAAGATATATAAAAAAAATTTTAAATAATATTTAAGTTATTATTAAAAATTTATTTAAAAAACTTGTTCTTAATGTTTTAGTTTAATACTTATTTAAATCAAAACAAATGATTATTGAATTTTCATTGAATTATCAAATTTAAAAAATAAATATTTTGCAATAATTTCTAAAAACTTTCTGTTATAAAAACAATGATATTTTTATATTTATAGATTTAAATGAAAAGGTGTGACCACTTTCTATATATATTAATATTATAATAATATAATAATAATTTTATTCAATAAATATAATACATAATAATATATATTTAAAAAATTTATAAACTTATTTAAATTATATTTAACAGTCCTAAATAATTTTTTAAAAAACTAATTATTTTATTTATTAAAATAACTGTTAATTTGTTATTTAAACATGATAAAGTATAATTAATATACATTATTGCATTATTAATATATATATTATTAACTTAAAAATTTAATTTGTTATAACATAAATCTAGTTATACCTAAAATATATAAGATAATAGTAAAATTAATTTTAGCTAAAATTTATCAGTTTATATGTAAATATATTTAATAAAAATTTGGTTTCACTATTTTTGTCACTTATTGTTTTTAAAAACTTATTTCCACGCATTAATTGCATGTAAAAAAGTTTTAAAGAGAATTTTGCAATTATTACAAAATAAATAATTTTTATTATAAGTTATACGTATTATTTATTATTAATTATATTAAAATATATAACTGCAAGCATTTTAAAAAGTATTGGTAGACTAGTAAAAACAGTTTATATAATAGTTTTATTTAGTTAATATATGACATTTAAAATTTTAATAAAAACTTATTTAAAAGAAATTAATAATTTTATAGATTATTAATTATGTATTTATTTTTAATTATAAGTATAATTATTATTGTGTCAATTAATGGACAAGGTATATATAAATATATATTATATAATATATCACTTATATTTAGAAAATAAACTAAATATTATATTATTAATAATATTTAATAAAATTATTACTGAATTATTTAATTCAAAATTAAAGTAAAAAAATCGGTTCACATGAATATCGAGTTTTCTGGAAATATTGATATAAATATCAATTTTGACAATAAAAACAATGATAAAGATATTGGGGTGAGTTTTATCATAAGCAAAATAATTTTATATATAAATGATAATAAATAGCATATATATTAGCATAAAAATAATAATAATATAAAATTCTATTCTATGAATAATATAAAATATTTCTAAAATTACCATTATTTTTTTATAAACTCTAAACTAAATTAATATTTATAATAAAACCTAATTTTTAATTATTAAATAAACTACACAACAAAAAAAACATATCGGAAAAGTCTATGTATATATGCGGTGGATATAATGGATCAAATTATTTGTCTGATTGTTATAAATATAATAAACACTCAATTGATTGGCAATCCATACAATCCATGTCTACTACACGTCAATCGTTTGGTTTGGTTTCAATGGATTCAAGATTGTATGCAATCGGCGGATATAATGTAAATAATAGCTAAATCTTATTTTTGTTTGTTTGTTATACTTATATATAGTAATAAATATAATATAAATATATTTAATACATTTGTTTAGGAGGTTAACGTTTAAGTTACTAAACTTATAAATATTATAAATTAATAATTTAGTAAATACTTAAAGCAAAATGTTTTTGTCGACAATTATTATCTGATTAAAAAATTGAAAAGTAATAAATATTTACTGAAATAAAAAAATTTTTTTTGACATTTCTAGCAAATCGGCGGATATATGCGTAATAATAATAATCATATTTTTTGTTAGTTATACTTATAATAATAATACTTATAGTAATAAATAATTAAAATATAATATAGGATAGAAGAGTTAATAGGATAATAATATATAAATAAATTAAAATTTTACATACATAAATTTTATAAATATTTATCAAACAAATTTTTGTCGACAATTATAATCTGAAGCATTGAAGATATTATAATATTTATTGAAATGTAATAAAAAATAACATTTAATTGCAGAACTAATTACTAAATAAAAACTACTCTTTTTATTCTATAACAACTCTAGTAACTAAAAAAATTTAGTTTAATTTATAATTTATAAAATATATTAATTATATTTACTTTAGAGTACAACTATAGAAACTGTTGAAACATACGATTTCCATACAAATATATGGGATGGGATTTCATCAATGAATTTACCTAGATAGTATTTTTTTAAAAAAATATAATTAGTTATATAATTAATTAGATATTAATACTAATTATTTATTTTCTATTAATATTTTTAAATAGTGCATTTGGTTCAGCTGTAGTTAATAATAAAATTTATGTTTGCGGCGGATATAATGGTAAATAAATAATTTTTATTATTATTAAAAAAATAATTTTATTTTATTATACTTCTATTGTTTGAATTATATTTATAAACAGAACTATAAAAAAAAATTAAATAATAATAATAACAAAAATTTATCTAGATAATATAACTAGATATATAATTTATCTATAATACTTATAGAACTATTATAGAAATATACAGTCTAGATCAGGTGTTATGAGATGATTATACGGTCCCTTATTTTTAAAAGAACATAATTAATGACCAAGATAAAAAAACAAACAAAAAATTATAATACACAAATTAAATAATTAATTTTATATACTATTAAATTACATAAAATGCTTAATAAAAAAATATGAGTAATTTGAAAAATTAAAAAAAATATGTAACAGTGTATTTGAGCTAGGTCAAATATATTTTTTTAAAAAACCATAAGCTTCGACAGTGCATTATTAGTGCAAAAATAATCAAAAATCATTATCCTGATAACGCCTGGTTTAGATATACACAAAAAAAATAATTAATTATAATTCATTCATATTTATAGATGAAATATTAAAATCATGTGAATATTATTCAACAAATACTGATGAGTGGTATTTTATAACACCTATGGGTAGTGAAAGATCTGAGTTTGAATTGGTATCAATCGGTGAGGGGTTTCTGTATGCTATCGGAGGCTATAATAGAAATGGATATTTAAATTCAATGAATAGATTTGATATAAAATCAAAACAATGGACTCGTAAAGCAAATATGATATCAAAAAGGTTTTTATATTATTTATATATTTATTACTATTTATTAAAAAAAATATTAATTCTAAACAACAATTTAAAAATAATTTAATTATTAATTTTACTAAATAAGCATTGAATTTGAAATTATTAATACTATTTGTCTATATATATAATATATACTTAAAGCAAAAAATAACAATGTCATTATTATTATTGATTATTATTAATTTATTTGTACCCAGTATAAAGTTAATATAGTTATATATATAATATATATATAGAAGTAAATTTGGTTCAGTGTCATTTATGGGTAAAATATATGTTTGCGGCGGTTTGGGTAATAGTGACGGGAAAACATGCGAAAAATATGATCCGCAAACAAACCATTGGACACCTATTGGTATTACAATAATAATTATTTTTTAATTTTTGTTAATAATTTATAAACAGATATTTTCAGTTTATTTTTCAATTATACATTTTATTCAATATAATTATAGCATCAATGAATGATAAACGATTTAATTTTAAAATGGTTTCAATCGGTGACAATTTATTTGCATTGGGTGGTTATTCAGGTAATTAAATTAAAATTTAATTATATAAAATAAATTTAGTTTTAAAAATTTTTAATTTTTTTTTGTAAATTAATTTAATTAAAGGAGATAAAGGTAGACTTGATTCGGTCGAAATATATGATCGCTATTCAGATAAATGGTTTTATACGCAATCATTGCCGCAAACAATTGATTCATTTGGGGTATAAATAATAAATATACTGTTTTTTGTATTAATTAATTAATTAATTAATCTAATTTAATATTATATTTTAATTTTTCACCAGGCTACTACTGTAAATTAATTTTTATATCAAAAATAGTATATATAGTATTAAACTTAAACTTGAATTATATTTTAATTTAATTATTTAAAATAAATTTAATAAACTTGTTGTTGTTGTTGATAATCATTATGAAATAATAAAATGTCAATTACTAAATCATAATGTTTATTTGTCTTAAATATATTTACATTAAATTATTAAACAAACTAAATATTTTAAATAAATAGAAAATAATTTAATAAGTTTAAAATTTATATATAATAATAATATAAATTATCAAATATGATAAAAAATCATTGATGCAAATAAAAAATTTTATTTATTGATTTTAATTAATATATTATAAATATTATCAATAACTTATTTTAATTTAAATAAGGTAGTTCAAATATTTCAATAATAATTTCATAATCATTAAAAAACAGCAGCCTAAATAATTGAAAAAATAAATAAAAAAATTATTTTATGAAAAATAACTTAAATTTTAATTTTTTTAAAAATAATATTTTAATATAAATTATACCCCATATGAGGAAATTAATTTCGGATACGCTGTAGTGTACGACCAATTGTTTGAATAATAATCATATATTTCTACTGAATTAAACATTGTACTATTGTGGTCTATTTTTTTTAAAAATATTAAAAAGTTAAAAATAAACAATTAATTTTAAATTAAAATAAATTTTCTATATAAAATATTAAAATTTTACCAGAATAACCTCCTATAGCATATAAACTACCATCGATTGAAATTAATTTATAAACAATTTTTTTTAAATTATATAAAAAATTAAAATTATATATATACATATAGACCAATTGGTGTCCATTTATCGGTTTTGGAATCATATGTTTCGCATGATTTTCAATTGATAGTACCCTCACCGCCTCATATATATATTTTGCCCATAAATGATGCTGAACCAAAATTTCCTCTAGTTTATAAATATTTATATGTATATATATATACATATAAAAAATAATAATATAATAATAAGGGATGGTTCACATATTACGTTCGAATTTGAGGGAAGCGGAGTTGGTTAAATTTTTTTAAAAAAATGACTATATACATACAATTGCAAAATAAGGGAGGGAGGGTGTTTAGATTTCTTAAATAAAAAGTGCGAACGTAATATGTGAATCGCCCCTAATCATAATCATAATAATAACCTTGTTGATGTCATATTTGCTTTGAATGTCCAATGAACAGTTGTCGTATCGAACATTTCCATTGAATTTAAATATCCATTTTCATTATAGCCACCCATTGCATAGATAAGCCCGTCGTGCGATACCAGTGCCAGACTATCCCTTTCAATGGTCATTGGTTTTGTAAAATACCATTTATTGCTTATATCGGAATAATATTCGCATGATTTTAATATTTCACCTAAAAATTTTTTTTAGTTAAAATTAGAAAAAAATATGGTTAAAATAATTTTAAAATTTATATTCTGTACATTGAATTATATTACTATATTAGCTAAACTAATAAAAATTTAAACATAATTATAAGATATTATTATTTATAAAAAAATTATTATTTACCATTATATCCACCGCAAACATAAATATGATTATTAGCTAAAACTGCATCAAATTTACTTTAAAATAGAATCAAAATTCAAAATGTAAATAAGTTTTTAATAAATAAAATATTATATATAAATTAATTTTTAAAAAATAACTAAAATTGATTACTATCTAAGTAAGTTCATTGATGAAACTAATTTCCATGTATTTGTTTTTATATCGTATGCTTCAACACTATTGGTTATTTGGCCCTGAATAAATTATAATTTATAATAAATTGAAAATTTTTATAGAAATTATTTATTTATATTTTAATTGTTTTAATTTATATCTATTTGATAAACTAAAATTTAATAATTTTGTTTAATATATATATATATATATATATATATATATATAACTATGATTTAATTACTAGATTTATTAAATTTGTTTATTATTTTATTTAAAATCACAGAATATATATATATTCTAATATATATTCCGTGTTTTTATATAAAATAAAAAACAAAGTAAATACTAAATCCTATAATAATTAACTAAATACTTACATTATAGCCGCCGATTGCATATAATTTTGAATCGTTTGAAACCAAACCAAAATCTTCCCGTTTTGTAGTCATATATCGCATTGTTTTCCAAACTTTTAATTGTTTGTCATAACTATAACAAGTGTCTACTATTGACGTACTATCATAACCACCGCATATATAGATAACATTTTCTGTTAACTGAAAAATATATATAAAAAGAAATCAAATAATTATTTAAAAAAATACTAAACAATATTAAATTATTTATATCAATATTACAGTAGTTTTTAATACGAAGACATTAATTGTAAAAACTAACAAAATTATAAAATTTATTTGATTCATATTTTATTAATTTTTAAAAACAAATTTACAAGTTTTAGTTATTAAATAAAAAATAATTCAAAAATATAATTTTTGTTTTATAAATAAATTATTTTCTTTTTATACAAAAATAATCCTGTTTATATAATTTATTTAATTTAATAAAACAAAGTTCAATTATAAATTAGTTAGTAATTTGAACTTAAAATAAACTAATTGTTTTTATTTTTATTTGCAATTTTATGATAATTTAATAAGATAAATTATCCAATTTTTACAAAATAAATTATCGTTAATTAATTAAATACTAAATTTTTCAAAAACATTTCAAAATGATTTAAAAAATCTCTTCTATAATATTATTTTTGTTCAAATATTATTAAAAATAAAATATATATATAAATGTATTATGTTATTATTACTATGAATTATTACTATATGATTATATTTAATATATTAAAGATTAGATATTTGTTTAAAATATTTACTTTTAAAATAGAGATAAAATAATTATTAAATCCTGATATTTTAATTGATAAAAAATAATTATAATTATTGTATTAACTATATAATTGTATATAGTTAATTTGACTTAACCATTTTTAATAATATATTGTTTTTGTAGTACAATATATTGAAATAATTTAACATTTTTAATCAAAAAATTATTGTAAATTTTTTTAAATACTATATTTTTTAATAACAAATATTTTTTATATTATTATTATTATTATTATTGACATTTAATTACTCTATTAGTAATTAATGATACTTATATATAAATATAGATAAATTCAATTGCTATCAAAATTATTAATTATTATTATTTAATTAGATATAATTATACAGATTATACACACATAAAAATATTTTCTTTAAGTTATTGTAATCTTAATTTAAACTCATATTAAAATATAAATAATATTTTTTTTATCAATTAAAGTGCAATTATTTAATAATTTCTTTATATATCACTTTCAATAATTAAAATATTATTTTTTATAAAATTGTTTTTAAAATTTATTTATTAAGTTTATTATAATAATAGTACTGATATTATACCAACATTTTTGTAATTTAATCAAATAAAACTTAAATATTGAAAAATATTTTTTTTGAAATATTTTTTAATTTTTGACATTTAAGTATTTAATTAATTAATGATAATTTATTTTCTAATAAGTGGGTAATTTATCTTAAATTATAAATAAATTATCAAAATTACAATTAAATTAAAATAATTGATCACTAATTAAAACTTGAACTTTGTTTTTATAAATAGATTATTAATATTAAAAATAATTAAATCTAATATTTTTTGTAAAATATAAAAAAAGATTTATTTGTAAAAAACATTTTATTATTATATTTATAGTATTAGTAGTAAAAAATACATTTAATTTGTTTTTTTAAATAAAACTAACTATGCTACAATTAAATTTTGTATTTTTAATTATTTTTACATTTAATATTATTGCATTTAATACAACTAATGCATCTAATAGTAATGTATACTAATTTTTTTATTTATTTAATTAATTTAATTTATAGTAATTTTAAATTGTTTTATAATCAAACACACATACACACACATACACACACATACACACACATACACATACACACACATACACATACACATACACATACACATACACATACACATACACATACACATACACATACACATACACATACACATACACATACACATACACATACACATACACATACACATACACATACACATACACATACACATACACATACACATACACATACACACACATACACACACACACACACAGACACACACATACACACACATACACACACATACACACACATACACACACATACACACACATACACACACATACACACACATACACACACATACACACACATACACACACATACACACACATACACACACATACACACACATACACACACATACACACACATACACACACATACACACACATACACACACATACACACACACACACACACACATACACACACATACACACACACATACACACACATACACACACACATACACACACATACACATTAACATACACATACACATACACATACACATACACATACACATACGCATACACACACACATACACACACACATACACACACACATACACACACATACACACACATACACACACATATATATACACACACATACACACACATACACACACATACACACACATACACACACATACACACACATACACACACATACACACACATACACACACATACACATACACACACAYACACACACATACACACACATACACACACATACACACACATACACACACATACACACACATACAAAACTTTACTTTTTTGTGTTTTTACCTAGGTAACGGAAAATTTTATCTATGTATGCGGTGGTTATGATAGTAGGGGAAATCTTAATTAGCGGCGCCGACGCCGACAGCGGCGATACATTTTTTATATATTTAATTTAAATAAGCGGCGATAACAGCGGCTATATAACAGCGGCGATGACAGCGGCGATGACAGCGGCGATGACAGCGGCGATGACAGCGGCGATATAACAGCGGCGATGACAGCGGCGATATAACAAAAAATTATATTAAATTTTATTAAACTACTTAATTTAATTTAAAAATTAAGTAAATTTTAATAAATTTATTTAAGATTAATTTAATAAAATTTACTTAAAAAATTATTTTAATTAAATTAAGTTGTTAAATTAAATTTCATTAAATTTCATTAAATATAACTAAATTTAATTTCATTAATTTAAAAAAATTAAATTTTAAAATTAAGTTAAATTTAATGAAATTTAATGAAAATTAATTTAATGAAATTTAACTTAATTTTAAAATTTAACTTTTTTAAATTAATGAAATTTAATTAAGTTAAAATTAATGAAATTAAATTTAGTTATATTTAATGAAATTTAATGAAATTTAATTTAATTAAAATAATTTTTTAAGTAAATTTTATTAAATTAATCTTAAATAAATTTATTAAAATTTACTTTATTTTTAAATTAAATTAAGTTGTTTAATAAAATTTAATAAAATTTTTTGTCATATCGCCGCTGTTATCGCCGCTGTCATCGCCGCTGTCATCGCCGCTGTCATCGCCGCTGTTATATCGCCGCTGTCATCGCCGCTGTCATCGCCGCTGTCATCGCCGCTGTTATATCGCCGCTGTCATCGCCGCTGTCATCGCCGCTGTTATATCGCCGCTGTCATCGCCGCTGTCATCGCCGCTGTTATATCGCTGTTATATCGCCGCTGTCATCGCCGCTGTCATCGCCGCTGTTATATCGCCGCTGTCATCGCCGCTGTCATCGCCGCTGTTATATCGCCGCTGTCATCGCCGCTGTCATCGCCGCTCTTATATCGCCGCTGTTATATATTATTTTGCTAAAAATGTATCGCCGCTGTCGGCGTCGGCGCCGCTAATTAAGATTTCCCCTGATAGTACAGCAATACTGGCCACTTGTTATAATTATAACAAACAAACCAAAGTTTGGAAAGCAATTGAATCCATGTCTACCATACGTGAAGATTTTAGTCTGGTTTCAAACGATACAAAATTGTATGCAATCGGCGGCTATAATGTAAGGAAAAAGCAATAATAATATAACAAATTTATTGTATGTTATATACAGTATAATAACAATAAAGTTATATATAAATAGTTATTAAAAGTTATTAATAACTATAAATTTTAATAATGGTATTATAACTTAATAGTTGTTATTATATTAAAACTTTTTAGTTATTAATAACTTTTAATAACTAATTATTTATAACTTTATTGTTATTATATATARCTTTATTGTTATTATATATAACTTTATTGTTATTATATATAACTTTATTGTTATTATATATAACTTTATTGTTATTATATATAACTTTATTGTTATTATATATAACTTTTAATTATTGTACAGTAATAATAATAATAATAGTATTTTATCTATTTTTAAGGGTCAAATAATTAATACCGTTGAAGCATATGATATACAAGCAAAAACATGGACATTAGTTTCACCAATGAATTTAATAAGACAGTAAATTAATTAAAATTAAAATTTAATTAATTAATTAATTAATATTATATMTATAATTTAGTTTTAATAAATAATATTTATTTATTTATTTCAGTGAATTTGATGCAGTTTTAATTAATAATCTAATCTATGTTTGCGGTGGATATAATGGTAACTAGTATAAGGGTCTGTTCACATATTACGTTCGCACATTTTAAGAAATCTAGACCCCTCCCTCCGTCCCTTATGTTCGTATGTCGCAGACATTATAAAAAATTAAGTTCACATTTCCATAACCGCTAACCCCTCTCACCCATCCACTACTAAAAAATAAAATATCTTAATGCAAACGTTCTTAAAATGATTACCCCTCTCCCTTCCACTTGTTGGCAAAAGTTCGCTTTGACCAACCCCCTCCTCCCTCATATGCGAACGTAATATGTGGACCACCCCTTATTAATATAGTATTAATAACAATATTTACTGTTTTTTTTTATTTTCGGGTTTTTTTGTAGTTAATTAATTTAGAAAATTATTAGTTTATAAAACTTTTTAAACAATTAAAAAATATATTTTTTACTAAAAATTTTTTTAGATGAAGTATTAAAATCGTGTGAATATTATTCAGCAATCAGTGATAAATGGTATTTTACGACACCTATGACTATTGAAAGGGACGGTTTGGCACTGGTATCACATGAAGGTGCTGTCTATGCTATCGGTGGCTATAATAATCAAAACGGATATTTGAATTCAATGGAAATTTTCGATACAAAAACAATTCAATGGACACTTAAGGCAAATATGTCATCAGCAAGGTTATTATTATTATTTTTAATTTCAAAAAAAATTTATTTGTACCCAGTATAAATTTAATATATATATATATATATATAGAAGTAATTTTGGTTCAGTGTCATTTATGGGCAAAATATATGTTTGCGGCGGTGAAGGTACTAGTGATGGAAAATCATGCGAAACATATGATCCCAAAACAAACAAATGGCAACCAATTGGTTAGTTATATAATTATTTATAAATAAATAATATATTAAATATCAGGGTTTTGAAAGATTTTTGATTTCAGTCGGGGGTATAGGAGGGGTAAAATGGCAAATATCCTGAAAAAAAATTGGGCGAACAATTTTTATTGTATTTTGCCAAATTTGAGGGTAAATTCCCAATTAAATTTCCAAATAATGAATGGGAATAACCAATAAATTTTAAAATGCCATGGGGTAAAACCTAAAAATTTCCATCTCAGGGGTGGGGTAATATGGCCTTACCCTACCCCCTTCTATCGAAACATTGATTAAATATATTAATTGTAAAAATATATTTAAGTGTAAAAAAATATTTAATTGTAAAAATATATTTAATTCTTCATATATATACTGTAATATATAATTAGCATCAATGAAAAATCAGCGAAAAAATTTCAAATTGATTGCCATCGATGACAACTTATATGCTTTAGGTGGCTATTCAGGTAAATTTATTTATATATTTTTTTAAAAAAAAATAAAAATCTATATATAAAATTAATTATTTCTATAAAAATTGTTTTTTTTAATTAATTTAAATTTAGACCATAATAATACATTTCTCAATACTATTGAAATATATGATTATTATTCAAACAATTGGTCATTTACGACATCATTTCCCAAATATGTTTGTTCATATGGGGTATAATTTTTTTTTAATTAAAAATAATAAAATGTTTACTAATTTATTTATTTATAAATTTTAATTATTATTATTTAGGCGACTGTTGCAATAATTTAAGTTTGTTAATCATGTATGAAATTATACTTTTTATTGAAATATATGAAAATATTTATATTTAATAAAAAGATATAATAAAATAACAATTGCTTAATAAAAGTTATGTTTTGTTTTTTATTATTATTATTATTATTACATTTTATTTGTTATCCTATTAACAACTTATATTTTTTTAATTAATTTTTGTTATTAAATATTTTATCCTACTATTTATTATTAATACTAGTATATAAATTTAATATACTAAATAATTTACATAAAATTACATTAGTATAGTAAACTAATACGGGTATAAAGTTTTATTGACTGTGAGGTTTTTTAAAAAATATAATAGTTTATAAAAATTTAATTTTTAAATAATTTTTCAAATAGTTATTGTACTGTAAAAGTTAAAAAGTATTGCAAAAAATCAAATTAATTATTTATCAATATTAGTTCAACAATAAATCTAATTGTAATTAAAAAAAACATTATTTTTTTATTTAATTAATACCAGATTAGATAAAATACATTAACAATAGTATATTATACTCGTAATAAAAAACTTTATAAAATCAATAGATTATAATAACTATTATTATTATTATTTTAGTTAATTTTTAAACTTTTATAAGTATAAAAAATATATATAATTATTTAACAATTAGATAGTTAATAAAGTGAAATTGATAACTAAAAAAATAAAACACAATAAAACTTTGCAAGTTTAATTTAAAAAATAGATTAAAATTAAAGATCCTATTTTGGTTAATCATCATTTATGGACAAAATATATGTTTGCGGCGGTGAGAGTCCTAATCCTTTAAATACATGCGAAACATATGACAATCAAACAAACCAATGGACACCAATTGGTTAGTTAAATAAATTTTTTTTTTGAAAAAACAAATTTTATTAAATAATTATTTGATTATATAAATTGTAAATATAATTACATTAGCATCGATGAAAACTAAACGTTATAATTTTAAATTAATTAACTTCGATGACAATCTATATGCATTGGGTGGCCAAACGGGTAATTAGCAATTTTTAAAAAAATTAAATAAATGAAAATTATTTTTTTTTAAAAATAACTTAATTTTTAATTAAAAAATGCACCCTACTACTTGATTCGGTTGAAATATATTATCAATATTCAGATAAATGGGATTTTACAACATCATTGCCACAAAAACTTGGTGATTTTGGGGTATAATTTATGATAATTTTTATTGAAAAATAATTAAAAACTTTATTAATTACTTATATTTTTTTAAACATTTTTTTAGGCCACAGTTGAATAACTTTTAAAATTACATTTAATATTATTACAAATATAAACTTAAATATATATATATGTATATGATATTAGTAAATAAATTATTTAAATATTTCCATATTATAGATTAGTATTGTTTTAATAAAGCTATAATAAGCTTTAATAAGTTATTTATTTAATAATAAAGTTTATTTAGTGAAATAAATTAATAATATATTACATAAATATAAAATAATCAAATTAAATTTATATAAAATATAATTATTTACTAAATAATTATATATATATATATATTCAGTTGCATTCACTTAAAAAATATCGGTTTTGTAATAAATTTGTGAAAAACAGGTGAACAACTAAATATATTAATGTTATATCAATCACAATCAAAATTGTTTTATATTTACAAAATTCAATGTCAATTAGTAATATTAGTAATAAAAAACAAAAAATAATAATAAACAGAAATTATTTCATAACAATAGTTAAATTTTGTTTGAATTATTTACTAAGAAAAAAATAGTTCAAAAGTTATAATGATTACAAAAAATAAGTTTTGAAAAATATATATTTTTTTCATATATATATAATACAAATAAATTGGTATTAATTAACTATAAAATTTACAAAAATAAAATAAAAATATCGTGTATTTTTTACATCTAATTAAATAAAATTTTGTATATATTAATAAATTGCATAAAAATATTTTTTTTGTATTAAACTAAATAAATATATCGTATTATTATTAAATAATTATTGTTTATTCATACAGAATATTAGATTTTTCAGATATATTATTTAAATTTTGTCTATATATATAATATTACTATATATATTGTATGTATATATAAATTTATATAAGATATAAACTAGATTTTTATACTGTATATCAATTACTATCAATATAATTAATATCAATAACTAAGTAAAATTATACTGTATTATTATTAAATACTTATTGTTATTTATATATAATATTAGATTTTTTTGTATATATATTTGTTGAAATAAAATTATATTAAACAATATACTGTATATAAATTGCATACTAATATTAATAATAGTTAGTATTTAATTAGATGTATTCAATAAAAATGTCCGAAATTAATAATAATAATAATCAAAATGATAATGTTAGTGATAATAATAATAATAATAATAATAATAATAATAATAATAATAATATTGTTAATGATAATGTCAATGTCAATGTCAATGATAATGTTAGTGAAGATAATAATAATAATAATAATAAATCAAAAAATCGGTGGAATATGTTTAAAAGAAAATGGCTGTCAATGGAAATCAAAGAAAAGCGACGAATAATCATAAAAATTATATTGTTTTCAATTTGCGGAACATTTCTGGCCTATCATTCCTACGAATTGTATGGACAATACATGAGCGGAAAAACAATTTCTGACATCAAATATCTTCGACTAAAAAATGAATCCCTACCGGCCTTTACCGTATGTTTTCCCTATACATTACGAATGGACACGTTAGCCGCTCGCTATCCGGAGTTAAGTAAAAAATTTACTGAATATAAAAAACTTATTGACAATCATTATATTAACAAAACATTAGAAAACTATTTAAATGATATGTATTATCAGTTTGTTAATTATTATACAGACAAACATTTACCACTAACTGATTTATATAATAGTACACTAACTGCCCCAGATCTACTAACCGATTCATATACTAATAATAATAGTAATATAACAATTAATCAATATATAAATGCAGTTATTTATCAATATAACAGTCACGATAATTCAACACCAATTAAAGATTTACATCCAATTGAGTCGATTATAAATAAACCAATGCCACAAAAATGTTTAACATATTTTACGGAACTTAATGAAGACTATAAAAATTATAAAACCATTTTAGATAAAATTGTATTTACATTCATACATAATAATAGTTGGTTTCCGTCTACACTTTATAATAAAAAAAAACTTATATTTATCATGCATTCGGCTAATAATACTCCGTACGACAACCTGAACGAAAATATATTTTTATTAGAAATGAATAATAGCTATTGGATCGGATATTCGACTACAAAGACCGTACGTTTGCCGCCGACCTGGGACACCAAATGTCGTGAGTATGATATCTATAATCATAGTATTGACAGCACCGGTAGTAAAATAATGTCGCCACCGCCGCCTCGCACCCGTTCCGATTGCCGAAACCAATGTTATCAACAAAATATTACTCTATATGACAATCAATGTTGTCTTTCCAAAAACTTTACTCTTGTTAAATGCAATAATTGCATACCATATAATAAAATAAAACTGATCCCGAAATATCTGGTCGAAAATAATGTGTCGTCGACAACCAGATCGTGTAACAAATATGTAACCTATAGAAAATGTGAACTACCTATACGTGATTATTGCGATGATCAGTGTGCAGATCCATGCTATGARAGCGATTATATTATGACTTTAATTAATAAACAAAMTATTGAATTTGAAAATAATAAAACAAATCAATGGTCTAATGCTGTGGTTATTGTTAATRTCATTCATTCCGCACATTCCGATCAATTAGTAGAACATAGTCCTAAAATGACCAGAATTGAGTTCCTCTCAAATTTAGGCGGTTTGATGGGTATTTGGTTAGGATTGGCTATATTTACTTTACTTGATTTATTTGTAAAATTATATAATCTATTTTAATTCTAGWATTTWATTTTATTTAWTWAATTTTATTTTTTGTTTTTAATAATATATATCTTTATAATTATTAGCTATAAGATTAAATATTATAATATAAATTTTTAAAAATAATTATAAATATATGTATGTATTTACTGTATATTTTTTRTTTATATATATATATACTTTATAATAATTTAATAATTTTTAAAATATTAKAAAATTTTATACAATTTATTAATATATTTACWAAAAATACTGTAATTTATTATTAAATAGTATCTATATTTGTTTTCATACTGTATAACAAATAAACAAATTATTTTTGATTTTTTAATCATTTATTTAWATTTTTGTTTTGTTTATTTTATTACTAAAATTACTTATTGATACTRAATATTGTTAATCTAAAACAGTTTGATTGACTTAATAATTAATAATATATTTAGTTTATCTAGTTTTTTTTAAATTTTAATACAAAATACTACTTATTATTTTTATTATTTATTATTTAATTTTTCTAATTATTAACTATCATATAAGATTATATATATATATATTGTACTTTTTGAAATTAATTATGTATTCTATTAACAAAAATATTTTAATTTTATGTTGTATATACTATATATATTTTTTATAATTATTTTAGTACTTTTTTAGTATTCAAATACTCAATAGAAAATAAGTTTTATTTTTTATTTATATCAAATAATTTTGCAATTTTTTTAACATTAATAAATATTTTTTAATTTATTTATACATCRTTAATATGTAATATTTTGTATGAATAAACAACAATTATTTWATAATAATATTGTTATATATGATTTGACATTGAAATATATTTGATCAGTATAATAAAAAATATAAGCAATTTATTAATACTGTATATTTTAAATATTGATTTTTTGYTAATTTTATCATTWAATAATATCTATTGCTTTTCATACTGTATATCATATAAACATACAKTATTGTTTAAACATTAAAAAAAATTTAGTAAATAATTATTTATGTCAAACAAAATATAGCTTTTATTAAATTACATTAATTTTTGATTGACATCATAATTAACATATATTTAGTTAACATATCTGTTTATTCACAATTTTAATATMAAAACATATATTTTATTAATTTGAAAGCAACGGWACGTATAATTATWTAAAATAAATAATWATATATATTTACTTTTTTRAAATTATTTTTATAATATTTTAYTGTATAATATATTTAAAACTTATTTCATTAAATAAACTATTTTTTAATAATAAATAATAAATATCATAATATTTATGCTATTAATATATTGYACACTATAAGCCTTTATTTATTATATAACTATAATTGTTTTAATAATAATACAGTAAAATATAATCTAATTACTTAATCAATGATAATTTTTTTAAACTTAAAAATTAAATTATTATTWWTTAAAAATTTTAAAATTATTTAGGTTYAGCTATAATTAATAATACTATTTTTGTTTGCAGTGGTCAAAGTGGTAAATAATCTAAATTAATATAATTATTATTTAWTTATTTATTATTTTCAAAAAATGTAAAAAATAAGTATTAAAATTTATTATTATTTTTTTTTTAAAAATTTACTTTTTAGATGAATATTTAAAATCATGTGAATATTATCAGCCAAATWTGGWTAAATGATTATTTAAAACACCAATGACTATTGAWAGGTGTGATTTTGCACTGGTATTACACGGRGARGGSYTASTGTATGCWATCGGTGGCTGGAATRGYARATATTATATAAATTCAATGGAAATGTTTGATATAAAAACCAAACAATGGACACCCAAAACATCAATGMATACAATAAGGTTATAAAAAAGGTTATAATTTTTATTTTAGATATTTATTAACTAATTAAGCTATGGTTAGCTAATTTTTTTTAAAAAAATTATTTATTTATTCTAAATAATATATTTTTTATAAATAATTAAAAAATCATTTATTTATATAAAACAATATTTTAAAAAATATTTATTTATACTMWATAATTTATTTTTAAATAATTTATTWATACTRAATAATATTTTTTTAAAATTATTTATTAATAGTAAATTGTATTTTTTCAAAAATTTATTCTTACTTAATAATTAATTTATACTAATTAATATTTTTTAAATAATTTATTTTTATTAAATAATAATTTATATATAAATATAWAAATTWARTTAAAAATAAAGATCATATTTTGGTTCATCATCATTTAYGGGCAAAATATATGTTTGCGGCGGTGARAGTCCTAATCCATTAAATACATGCGAAATATATGATAATCAAACAAACCAATGGACACCAATTGGTTAGTTAAATAAATTATTTTTTAAAATACAAATTTAATTTAACAAATTTTATTAAATAATTATTTGGTTATATAAATTGTAAATATAATTACATTAGCATCGATGAAAACTAAACGTTATAATTTTAAATTAAGTACTTTYGATGACAATTTATATGCATTTGGTAGCYAAACGGGTAATTAGCAAAATATWTTTTAAAAAATTTAAATAAATGAAAATTATTTTTTTAAAAATAACTTTAATTTTTTATGAAAAAGATGGTAMCGTATTACTTGATTCGGTTGAAATATATGATSAATATTCAGATAAATGGTATTATACGACATCATTGCCRCAAAAACTTGRKGATTTTGGGGTATAATTTATGATAATTTTTATTGAAAAATAATTAAAAACTTTATTAATTACTTATATTTTTTTAGGCCACAGTTGAATAATTTATTACAATTACATTTAACATTATTGGAAACATAAATTTAAACTATATATTGTTGTTCATAAAAATAGTCAATTATTAAAAAGATTAAATCAAAAAACAATTTGTTTAAATAAATAAAAACATATATTAAAATTAAAAAAAAWCATTCWATTAATTAAAACATAAAAATGCAATAGCAATATTTATTTTTGAAATATAAWTKRCATAACATTTTGTATTRTTTATCAATAARTTTTATTGACATAAAATATTAATATTCATTATTATCATTATTCAACAACAACAACAAAAACATGTTAATTAATCAAATATTTTATACAATATTTATTTTTGTTAAAAATGTAAATTTAAATTGAGAATATTTTTTTATTAAGATTTATAAAAAACAAATTAAACATAGTTTATTTTAATAAATCATTTTTGACACTAAATAAYTAAATTAATAGGTATGCAAAAAAATAGATATACTATATTATAATGTATTTCCTCAACAATTATCATATGATACAGTWTATAAAAAATCAATTGATAGCAGYAGCCTARATAAATTTTAAAAAATAATWATATATTRAWTATATATATATAAAAAATAATCAATATTTATACCACAAAATATGATAATTTTTGTGGCAATGATRTCGTATAAAACCATTTATCTGAATAATGATCGTATATTTGAACGGAATTAACGCTTCCTTTACCATCTTAATTAAAATTGAAAAAAATTTATATAATTTTTAGATTAATAAAAATTAAAAAAATAATTACATATCCAACCACCCAATACATATAAATTTCCATCAAAAGCAACCATTTTATAATTAATACGGTTATCTATCATCGATGCTAAATAATTATTTTTAAAAAAATTAAATTTATAATTGAAAAAAACTGTTAAAATTATTTTTAAAAAACTTGTTTTACTAAACCAATTGGTGTCCATTGGTTTGTTTGCGGATCATATGTTTCGCATGAGTTTACATAACCGCTGCAAACATATATTTTACCAATAAATGATGCTGAACCAAAATAAGCCCTATTTAATTATTTTAAAAAATTACATGTTAAAAATTAAAATAGATAACATTTTATTATACAGGATTATAGGATTATATATGTTTTTATTAAATAATGYATTAAATTAAAATTTAATTATTTACATTATATATATATAAATATCATTTAATGCAATTGGGTTTTTTTAATTAATAATAATAAAATAAAATTTTAAAATTGTTATGTAATAAATTATTGTAAAATGTAAAAAATAAAAATATTATTTAGTAATATTAATAAATAAGTTTTTTACAATTTTTAATTTTTACTATAAAATAATTAGATTATGAATAATACACAAACCTTTTTGTTGTCATATTTGCTTTAGGAGTCCATTGTTTTGTATTTATATCAAACATTTCTATTGAATCCATTGAATCATTTCCATTATAGCCACCGATAGCATACATAAACCCATCACCGATTGATACCAATTGAAAATATTGTCTTTCAATAGACATAGATGTTGTTGAATACCATTGATTAGTATTTGGATAATAATATTCACATGTTTTTAATATTTCTAAATCTTTAAGAAAATTATAAAATAAATAATATAACTAATTTTTATATYTATAATAGTTTTATAATAWGTCAATAAATAATATTTTTTWAAATAAATAGTATTAATTATTTAAAAATTATTTATCTACCATTATGACCACCGCAAACATAAATAGTATTATTAATTACAGCTGAACCAAAATCACTAAATTGAAAAAATTATTTTTTTTCTAATAACTTATTTTAACAGTTAATTTTTTTTTTTTTTAAAAAAATACATGCGTGGTAAATTCATTGATGAAACACATTTCCATAGATTTGTTAGCGTATCATATGTTTCAACAATATTAGACAGYTTTTTATTCTGTAAATAAATATAAATAATAAATAAATAAAGTATTWTTTTGAAAACAATTGTGATATTWTGTTATATATATATATATATATATATATAATATATATATAAGTTATATTTTAAGCTATAATAACTGTTAATAAYAGTTAATAAAAAATTCAAAGTTAAATGTTATTTTAGCATTTGTTTTTAAAAAATTTTAATAATAATTTTTAAAATAATAAATGTTATATATTGTCACTGATTAAATAATATTATTACTAAATAATCAAATAAAAAAATAGATTTAAAAAAAATTATATATAACTTGAAAATATTTTAAGTAAAAAAAWTTCGAAAATATAATATATTAATTATTTACAACTAAATTTTTAAGATAGAAAAAATTTATTATTTACATCATAGCCTCCGATTGCATACAATTTTGAATCAATTGAAACCAAACCAAACCATCGACGKGTAGTAGACATKGATTGTATGKATWGCCAAACATTTGTATGTTTATTATATTGAAAACATTTAGATCCAACTAACCCARCATATGAACCGCATGTATAGATAAMTTTTTTTCGATAAATTATCTTTTAACTAATTTTTTWAAAAGTATWAAAAATTAATACTTTTATTTTTTTATAAAACATATATAAATATATAATTTTAATTACACAATTATTAGATTATTATTATTATTATTATTATTATTATTATTATTAGTAGTAGTAGTTAGTAGTAGTAGTAGTAGTAGTAGTAGTAGTAAGTGTATAATGAAAACACAATAAAAGTAAAATTTAAGWAAAATATTGAATATATTTTAGCCATTTTTACTAATAACTAGTTTAATGATAAGTAAAAATTTTATAACTAATGAAATTTACTTTTTTATTTATATATATAAAAATATTAGATATAAAAATATCTAAATAACAAAGTTCAAGTGTTAATTTATTGGGAATTTTAGTTAAACATTGATATTATTGATATTTATAAATTTTATTAGATAAATAGTATACTTAACAAAATGTTAMACAATTTKATTTTATACTTWATAATTAAAATAAAATTAATAAATAACATTTRATTTTTWAAATGCTAATTATGATTATGTTATATTAAAAATAAATATTTTATTATATAGTACCTTATTATTATCTTATTATTATTATTATTATTATATATTATTATAATAAAATATATWAATATATTAATGTAAACTTTTATATATTTAAGTAAAATATAGCAAWTTTTTATATGTATTTTAATATCATTTATTCATAACATTTTTGATCATACAAATGTAGGTAAAAGTTTTTTTCTAATAATARTTWTAAAAAATTAATAATTTTTGGCTTTTAAAATATTACATCAAATAACTATATGTGTATAAAATACCATTAATGACTACAAAAAAATTATTTAAATATTTTTTCATTAATAATTTATTAATTTAATTGATAATTWGATTTAAAATAATAATAATAATAATATGTTAAATATTAATAATTATAAATATGTATTTATATAATAATAATAATTTTATAATCCATATTATTAATTTTTTCAAAAAAKKTTTTTTAATTAATAATAAAATCAATTTATATAACAGTTGCATTAAAAAATTATATTGGATTATTTATTTGTTTATATTAAATAAAAATAATATAATAATTATAAATTATACACCAAATGAATCTATTTATTTTGTTTTATTTTTTTAATAACTGATTGTTTTTTTTCAATCAATAGTTTAAGTTTGCAATTATATAAAAATGTAATTTTAAAAATTATTCAACTGTAGCCTAAAAAAATATTTAAAAAATAAYATTAAAAATAATATTATTTATTTTTATTAAATTTATCATAAATTATACCCCAAAATCAYCAAGTTTATTCGGCAATGATGTCGTATAAAACCATTTATCTGAATAATAATCATATATTTCAACCGCATCTGTAACTTTTCCGTCTTAATAAAATTATTTTTAAAAACAATATATAATTGCATATTTAAAAAATTTAATTTTCTAACCTATGTTTCCACCCAAAGCATATAAATTGTCATTTAATGCAATCAATTTAAAATAATAACGATTATCATTCATTGATGCTATAATTAATTATAATAATAAAATAAAAATTATTTTTTTAAATCAAAAACAATTTTACTAAACCAATTGGTGTCCATTGGTTTGTCTGCGGATCATATGTTTCGCATGATTTTCCATCACTAGTACCCAAACCGCCGCAAACATATATTTTACCCATAAATGATGCCGAACCAAAATCATTTCTTTTTAAATAATAATTTTAAAAATAATAAAATGTTTATTAAAAAAATAATTAATTAAAATTTTTTTTGTAAATTATAAAAACCTTTTTGTTGTCATATTTGCTTTTGTCGTCCATTTTCTAGTTTTTATATCAAATCTTTCCATTGAATTCATTGATCCATTGCTATTATAACCTCCGATAGCATATAATAGCCCTTCATTTGATACCAATTCAAAATCGGATCTTTCAATACTCATAGCTGTCGTAAAATGCCATTCATCTGTATTTGCCGTATAATATTCACATGATTTAACTACATTATCTTTAAAAAAAATTAAAAAATTAAAATAACATTTATAAAACAATTTTTATTAAATTAAGATGAATATTTATACATAGATAAATTTTTTAATATTTTATTATGATTTATTAATTTATTTGTTTACCATTATATCCACCGCAAACATAAATAGTGTTATTAACTACAGCTGAACCAAATAAACTTAAATATAGAAAATAATATTTTTTTAATAATATATCTATTTAAAAAAATATAATATATATATTACTTATTAAGTAATAGTATTATTAATTACACCTGAATCTAAATAACTTTAGAATTTTTAAAAATAATAATTTAATTTATAATTTATAGTTAATTAACTAATTATATTATATATTATTATTATTATTATTWATGTTTTAAATGTTTRAAATATAAAAAATAAATTACTMTCGTTTTAAATTCATTGATGAAACTGATATCCATTTATTTGTTTGCGTATCGTATGCTTCAACACTATTGAGTCTTTGACCCTGAACATAATTATAATTTATAAAAAATTAAAATTTTTATCGATAAAAATGTTTTTAGAAATGAATTATTTATATATATWTTAATTTTTAAATATTAAATAAATAAAATAATATGATAAAYTTTATAAACTTTCGGAATCATACATTAAATTTTAATAATTATAAAATWAAACCTTAATTAAAATATTATTTATTAAARTAGAATAATGCACTAAAAAATGTAAAAWCTTTAAATGTTTAAAAATAAAAAATAATTGTTTATAATTTGGAGATTGTCTTTTTGTAATATTTGTCGGTAACAATAGTAATGATTATGCTATWAWCTGGTCAACAAAATAATTATATTAAAAAGCGTACAKTAAGTAAAAGTGGGTGCTATTAACTTTAGATCAAACATCAKATTAGATAACTTAACATATSTTTWAACTAATTTAAATATTATTATACACACAAACTATATATATATATATATATGWTTAGGAGATACAACAATGTGTGAYTTAAAGTAAGCAAACATTCAGATTATTTTAACAATCAATATAAAAACATAATTACATTMTMRCCKCCRATTGCATACAMTTTTGAATCCAWTGAAACYAAACCAAACKCAACTCTAATAGTAGACATGGATTGTATTGATTGCCAAACATCTGTGTGTTTATTATATTTATAACATTCAGACAATTGTTTTGATCCATCAAAACCACCGCATATATAGATAAACTTTTCCGATAATTGATTTTCTGTCGACTAATTTGAAATAAAATAAAACAATTATAAAAGATTTTTAAGTTTATTTTTATAAAATTAATGTTAAATTTAAATTACAGAATCAGAATTATTATTAGTAATAGTAGTAATACTATTGTTTAATGTAAACACAGTATTTAAAGTAAATATTAACAAAACTATTGAATATATTTTAATCATTTTTTTTTGTTTAAAAAAACATCAAAACAATAATTAAATTAACAATTTTCTAAATACTGTTATTTATAATAAATAATAATTACTTTTTATATTATAAAAAACTATATATTAGTTATACTATTAGTAAATATCTAATAACAAAGTTCAAGTGTTAATTAGTTAGAAATAAGTTTATTTCAGTTATATTTTTTATTAATTTATATTTTGATAATATTAATTAAGTACAGAAAAAACAAATTAATTAATTAGTATTATTTATWTTTTTTATAAATATTTATTTATATTTATTAGTATTATTRCTGTTATAGCTAATATCTATTAATATAATAAATTTTTAATTTTATATATTGAAAATTATTTTTAAAAAACAATAATTAGTATTTTTCAAACTATTATTATAACAAAAAATAAATAAATAAATAACATTTGTTTTTAAAGTGTTTGTTTTATAATAGGATATGAGTATTAATAATACTTTAGTTTTTAATATCATTTTATATATTTTTAGATAAACAWATTGAATAAGTATTRATTAATTTWGTTGATRAGTAAAAATTTTTTTGTAATTTTAACAAAAAATTTACTTAATATATATAAAAWATTAGATWTAAGTATCTAAATAATWAAATTTCAAGTGTAAATTTATTGGGATTTCATTGTATTTTTTATTTATAAGATAATAAAATATATAGATTATAGTCTTATATTTTATTTTTTTAATTAAAATTGTCTTAAAAAATTATAYATATCTAAAATGCTATCTATAWTTTAAGTATTTTATTTTTTTATAAATAATATATGTWTTTTTGTAAACAAAAATATTTTTAACTAATTTTTTTWAAATAAATTAATTTATATAAATGTAATCATTAATTATATATTTAAAAGTAATAYWTTTATTACACTAATTATGAWATTAAAGATATTTTAAATTTAAGTATWATTTGTTATAATATTTTTAAAAATAAACTGTAWTTTAGYATWTTTAAATTACTTATTAAATTCAATAAATTCAYTGTAAATTTTAATAAATATTTATTTAGTCCAATGGCTACTTATTTTTTAGCCATAATCAATACTATAACTATAGTTCTATATATATATATATATAAATATAATTTTAACTGTAAATCATAAGTTTGCCTATAGTTTTGTTTGTTTTATTAATTTTAATCCCATCCCTMAMTTAAAAATATTTTAATCACTTATTATTTATTTATATATTATAATATACATGTATATGAAATTTATTAGTATATATAAAATGTACTTAAAAATTACTTATCAAAAACCTACTAATAAATTATTTGTATTAGTTTCAAGTTTATAAAACTAAATAAATATAAAAACCATTATAAATTTTTTTGAAATTAAATTTGATTTTTTCAATAAATTGTTTTAAGTGTTTAAAAAGTGATTAATTAAAACCAATAACAAAAATGTATGAAAGAGATAGTTTTGATCGATTTGGCGATGATTTATGTCAACTATTGCTCCGTTATCTGAYATTTGATGACCGGATCCGATGGCGAGTGTGTGTCCCGACAATGGCATCGATTGGTGTTTCAAAAATTAATTACATTTCATCAAATAGATTTCTATGACTTTAAGTATTCAAATCTATTCATAGTATGAATTTCATACATAAGTTAGTCGGACGTTTCTGTGTTTGTCCCAAAAAAAACTGAATCATATCATAATGTTTTTAAATACATTGAAATAATTTTAGTTTAACTAATGTTTTAAAATTTTTTATTAAAAAATAAGTAATAAAATTAAAAGTTTATTTTTTTTGTATAAACAAAAAACTAATAGAAACTTATTTTTGTTTTGTATAATAATTGATAACTTTTTTTTTTTGAATACAATAAAATTTATTTAGAAATTAAAATTATTTTATTTATTTATTTTTAATTTAGAAATTACTTATTATTAGTAATACTATTGATATAAGTAAAGTAACCATGTTATTTATAATAAATATAGATTTAATATTATTATTTTTTTACATTTAATTACTACTTTTATTTAAAATTATTTCATCATTATAATTATTTAAAAACAACGATTAATTTTTACAATACTGAATTTTTTTATTAATTTTATATTTTTATTGAATATTTTTTTAATTAATTTTTTAAACATTTTATACGGTATATTAGTTTTAAAAATTGTATAATACATTGTATTTTTATTATAACACATTACATTTGTACAGTATTTTACTGTATTATATAATATCAATATATAATATCAATTAAATAGTAAAATGTATATAAAATGTAAATATTATTAATACTGTATAACTTATTATATTAGGTATTATTAAAAAACTAAATTATCAAACATTTAAATTTATTTATTTAGTGTTATTATTACAGGTTTTTCAAATCAATACTACAATAACTTTAGTGTATATCATAATACCTGTAGTTTAATGTAAATATTTAAACAAACATTATTAGTTAAATATTAATACTTCAATATATATTTATATATATATATAGTATATAAATATTTAGTAAATTTATAATAATATTATGATATAGCAGTTGCCTGTAAAATAATATAAAAAACATTAATTTAATAAAACATATTATTAGTATTATATATATATATATTATAAGCAATATTTGTAATATTTAATTAATTAATTTAAAATAATACCCCAAATGAGCACATATTTTGTGGCAAAGCWGTAGTTAAAAACCATTTATCAGAAACATAATCATATATTTCCACTGAATCGGTATAAACATTATCGTTAGCTTTTAAAATAAATAAATATTAGATAATAATTATTTTTAAATTAATAGTTKTTTTTAATTTTTRTTAAAAAATTTTTTTTAAAATAAAACAAAAATAATACCTGAATAGCCACCCAATGCATATAAACTAGTATCGAAAGCAATCAATTTAAAAGCATCTCGATCAGTTTTCATTGATGCTAAATTAAATAAAAAAGTTAATTTAATTAATTAATTATTTTTTAAAAAATGGYTGTTATTAACTAATACTATATTGTTATCAATTTTAATTTTATTTAAATTATATATTTATACACTGTATATACAACAATGTGGGTATTATTTAAGTTTTTAAAAAGTTTTTTTTAACTAACMAATTGGTTGCCATTTGTTTGTTTTCGGATCATACGTTTCGCATAATTTCCTATCACTACYATTACCATCACCGCCGCAAACATATATTTTGCCCATAAATGATCCGGCACCAAAATAGGCTCTTGGTTGTTTTAAATAAATAAATTAAAAATATTAATTAAAAATATTAATTAAAATTATTAATAATAAATATTAATAAAACTAAAATAAAACAAAAAATAAAATAAAATAAATTATTATTACTATTAAATTATTGTCATTTACTGTTTTTTAACAATAAAAAAACAAACTGTAATTTAATTATTATTTAAATACATTTATTTTATTTGTTGTTTTATTTTTAGTTTTATAATAATAAAGTTTATAATAAATAAGTTTTATTATTATTATTATTATAATTACCTTGCTGATGACATATTTGCTTTCAATGTCCATTGATTTGTTTGTCTATCGAACATTTCTATTGAATTTAAATATCCATAGTTGATAAATAGCCACCGATAAATATAAAAATAGTTATAAAAATAAATATCAAAATAAATATCAAAATAAATATCAAAATAAATATCAAAATAAWTATAAAAATAAATATAAAAATAAATATCAAAATAAATATCAAAATAAATATCAAAATAAATATCAAAATAAATATCAAAATAAATATCAAAATAAATATAAAAATAAATAGCAAAATAAATATAAAAATAAATATAAAAATAAATTTAAATATCAATATATAGAATATATAGAATATATATCCATATATAAAATAACTATAATATATAAATATTTATTTTATAAAAACATCATAACTATTATTAATATATTAGAAAATTGTATAAAAATATTACTAAGTTGATTAATTAACATAATTATATATACTGTATATATAAATATATAAACTAAATTGTTTAAATTAATTTTTAAAAAATATATTTACCATTTTGTCCACCGCAAACATAAATAGTATTATCAATTACAGTAGCATCAAAGTCACTTAAATTTAATTAAATTGTAATTATTAATTAAGTTAAATATAATAATATTGTAAAATATAAATTTGTCGATGAATTAATTTAAATTAGATCTTTAACAATATTAATATTACTTATTTTTAAAAAAACTATTATTGTTTATATTAAAATTATTAGTTTTTTGTTATTTAAAAATATTGATTTATTGCTTAAAATAATTTGATGTACTGAGAAAATTAATAGTTTTTTTAATTTAGCTTTATTATTTATATATCGATACTTATAGTTTATAATTTTTTTCTTTGATAAAATTAAAGGCAATATATATATATTATATATGTAATTTTAAAATAATTTTTGTTATGTTATTAAATTTCGATTTTAAGTTAAATAAAATAAAATATGTATTCATAATTTTTTTTTTAAATTAATTTCGAAATTTTAAAAAGTCTATTTTCTTATTTAATTTTTTTAAACACTACAAAGTTATGTCAATAAATTTTTTAAATATATTATTACCTGCGAAATAAATTCATTGGTAAACATGATTTCCATGTATTAATATATTAGAAAATTGTATAAAAATATTGCTAAGTTAATTAATTAACATAATTATATATATATATATAAATTAAATTTTTTAAAATTAAGTTATTAAATATAATTTTTTTAAAATATATATAATTATATTTATCAAACAAAACCAAAAAATAAATATAGTTTATTTATTTAATTAAGAATATTGCCTTTATTATTTTTTTAATTATTTAATTAACTAATATTATTTGCTTAAATAATTCAACAATATATTGATTGTTAGC